TCATACTAATAGACATGAGCAACATTTGATGCAAATTCTAATTTGAATGAACCATAAAGGTTACATGGTACTCATTGATATCTCAATCTATAAGGTTGAGGAGATACGGTCGAGAAAGGTCAAGGAGAGCACAAAGAAAACAATTTGTTTCAACACATTTTTTGTCTTCTTCCATAGAGTTCAATTTGACTTGATTTACGCAGGAGGCTCTGAAAAGGATGAACTCTGAACCCAGACTGTCAGACAAACTTCTATCCCAAGATGATATTACAAGAGTGATTGCGCTGCGTGAGCATACAGTCAGGTAGATCCACTTGACGGTATTGAGAAGGTGTGAGAACAGATTGAATTTTATCTACTATAATAATAAAGTAAAAGGTCGTTTGTGTAAAAAAATCGCCACGCTCACTCGCCACGTTCTCCTTGTGACAAATTTGTACCGTTGAGCAACTCCTTGACTCATGGCTAGGCGTTTCATCACTCCCTGATGCCGTTGCTCGATCTCAGCCCATGCTGTTGACTTTGTGTCCAGGCTTTGACCCAAGTTAATGCACACTGGAATTCGCGGTCCTCGCTAGGCATTGTAATTTTAAGAACTCATGCTTCCGCCCTCGCAAAACCCGAAACGACTGTCCTATCCCGCATTTCGTGTAACTTTTACCAACCTCATCATTTTTTTTCTATCAAAACAACATATCTAAATATCAAAATGTTACAATTGACTCGCATGAGTCGTAATTTGTATCCTCGGGTATTTTTTTTGCAGTTCCTCTTCCATGGGCCTCCTCCTTCTTATGTGCTCGTCGCCTGTTCTTTTCGTAACTTCACCAATTGCCAAATTTCCTTTTTCATCAAATGCAAAATTCCTCTATTTAGCTTCATGGTGCTTTTCATTCGATGTTGCTTTTACTTACCTTCTCCACATGCTGTTTTCCACGTGTATTGCTAATTCTAACTAAAGGTTCCTGTATTCATATACATCCCGTCCTTTTTTTTCTTTGACTCTCAATCTACCCTGATCTACATCTATACACGTCATGGCCGTGATTCAGTACGTTGCGTGCTTTTCTTTGTTTTCCACTGAACCTACCTCGATCAGCAATTATATACACAAGCAATTGGTCTTTCCTCTTCCCTAACCTTTTGCTTTGGTTTCGGTGCTCTTTGGGCCTTGTTAAGCTTTGCTTTTCTTTGTTTAATCGCTTGCGGTTTTCTTCCTGAGGGCTCCTGGAATCAGTTTGCTTTTCAAATAGAGTTGCTTTTGATACTTCGCTTTTCATTGATTACCTTCTAACAACGCAATACAAGCGTATCCACCCAAGTGTAGTTCCTGACTGTTGGCCTATAAAAGGTCAGCATCGTCGTGGCAAGTCTCTAGCATCTTCCCATCAACTGCCTCCTCCTCCTTGCTTTTTATTCATCTAAACTAAAAATCTGTTCGCTACTTATACTACACACATAATCTATTATCATCCGCTATCAAAATGTTGATCTCTACTAATAAAGTCAAAACTCGGTCTTTAAACATTTCCGGTCCCTTGGATGTCTATGAAATTGTTAGGCCTGCTTCTTATCTACCTGACAACTTCTATGACGTGCTTACACGTCTATGTTTTGCCGGTCCCATTATCATTTAGTTGCCAACCAACTACTCGGCAAATTATCCCCTGCGTGACCCTGTAAAAGTATCAGCATACGTAAATAATTTAAGAACCTTATAAATTGTTGATTGAATAGAAAAAAGCATCAACTTGGTTAGGCGTTGAACCTTTGAAACCCAGTTGAGCCAATTTAGGGAGAGTGAGATATAGGAAGAAAAGGTCTGATCCGAGTGATGATGAGTTGTGGTAACAAAAATGAGCCTTTCAAATTGCCACAAAGCAACCTTTTTGGAGGAGTAGGATGATAAATAGGTTTGAATTTCTTGAGTATCAGAACTCTTGTTTGATAAGATTATGTTATAGAATACAGTATCAGATTCAAGACGAGTACTATTACAATTGCCCTGTGAACTTTGTCAAGTGGTTTATTGTTGTGTAGATAAGAAAGCGAGTGCAGGTGTGTTAAGTTAAATCCGGTTCATTAAAGGAGAGGAATTACAGAACAAAATAGGCCCTTGGAATAATGTAGACCTGCTTTTGATTGTCCTTGAAGACTGTGTGCTTGAAATTTGAATTCATTGTCTCAATAACTTTGGCGGGTCAGGGAAAAATTTCTCAATTGAAAAGGGTTGTATTGTTCTGAAACCTATGGGGGAAATACCTCATGAGGGTGAGTCCAGGCTAAATCATGGTGTGGCAAGTAGGGAGTGGGAATAAAAGGGTATGTTGAAGTGAGATAAATGATTGTAAAGGTCAGGCTGTGTAAAATACACTATGTCCGGTTGCGCGCATGCGCGCATAGTCTCTATTTGGGATAAAGATTCACTGTGAAATCAGACAAGGTGGGTATGGTAGTAGTGAAGTCGGTTCTGGTAGGTATGGAAATGCTGTGGTTCAAGGTTATAAAACTCACCACCATACCGTGCAGTGTAAGTCTTGAAATCCCAGTTGACTCTTTTGTTATCCAAAAAACTAAAACCTGATTCCACAATTTTGGAAACCTCAACAAACCTCAACAAATTGAGAAAATCACATATACTCTTTGTTATATAAGACGAGCTCACACATTGGTTTATTCCTTCTTCTCCTCAACTTTGACTTTGAAGGTGCAATCAATACAATTATATTTTTCCCTTCAGACCTGAGACTTGTGCTCTAAATCTATATACAATCTTTGTGCCATTCAATCAATTAAAGATCAAAACTCTTTTCATTATTATAATTCATATAATTCACATCATTTGATAATTGTTGATCAAATAACTTGGCATTGATTATTTTGGATAAATCCATCTCCTATCTCTTCTGCTCGTCAATTTGGGTTGTTTAGTCCAGATGAAAGAAGGTGGAATTTTTATCTGTGTATTTTCAATTGTATTTTATCTGTGTACCCAACATTTGTTTAGATGACAAACAGCAAAAAAGTAAGTGCCTGGTTTAAATTGGCAATTTGTCAAATAAGGGATCTTTGAGAAATCATGAATAGCACCCAGCATTGAACTAATTGTGGCAAGATGAAGAGATAAAATTGCACAATCTACAGCCCTGCCTGATGGGGATTATATCTTTATTTTTGCCAATTTTTTCAAATTTTGTGGAATTATCTTCAAAGATTTTTGATCAAAGCTGCTTTGAGTATATGAGTTTTGTTTGGACAACAAGGAGTGATGGAGTTTCTGGTTCTGAAATAAAACAGATACCATGTAATTTTGTCATAGATTTTGGAATTAAATGTGGAAGAATTGTGAATGAAACATCCAATGTTTGTCAATTTTTCCATCAACTCATTCAAAGGCTAGCATACCTTTTATTACCAGATTTCACCAGATTGAACAAAATAAATTGATAAATAATTAGTTTCAAGACAAACTAATCATCTTGATAAAAAAAAGTGTATTATCCTGGAAGACAAAGCCCCTCCTTCCAATTTTCAACTGAGCCAACATCTACAACCACACAATGGAAGATTGAAATTTGATCATGGGTACAAATTGTGTTATCTGCAGAGGAGGAAACCCAATTGCAGGATTCTAGATTACCTTGCATACATGTGACATTCTGCATGAGTGGAGGGAGATGAGCAAATGAGGTTCAATAGAATTGCAAACTCAAATTTGGATATGGCTTTAGATACATCAGACACCACATATACTTTCAGGGGGAACAATTCTTCAATGATACATTGACTGTCAACTGTGATTACATATGATGTTTCTGTAAAATTCATTGATCTAGGATGCACATACAACATGAAGTTTTGAGGGTCATACAGTATTTAATTTCAAATCTCATCAAATTTCATCAGGCACCTACAGCTGCTTGTGGTCTCCAATAAAGACAAGATTCATGATACCCCACTCCAAACCTGGTCTGGCAGAGCCAGGCCAAAAGTAGTGATACCAGGGCACAGATGTGATTACCAAGCCAGAGGCTTGGGCAACGTTGGGCCGTTGCGGTGCGTTGTGAGCAACGGGCGTTGCGCGCAACGCAACGGATGAAGTTTCCCCCAACTCGACCGCAACGCATCGAGCAATGCCATTGACGTTGCGTTGCTCGGCGTTGCGTTGGTCGTTGCTCGACATTGGCACGCAACGCAACACGGTTGGGTTAAGCACTCACTGGGACGGTGTGGGACAAGCGTGCAAGTGTAATATGAACAATGAATTTATTTCTTAAAGAAAAAGAAAAATTAATTAATTAAAGTATTAAAAAAGTTTATCAAAGTATTAAATTGAAGGATTGAGAAGTGATTAAGGGAAAGGTCAAAGATGGATAAGACTGAAAAGTTAATTAATTGAAGTATTGAAGGAGTTTATTAAAGTATTAAAAATGAAGGAATAAGACTATTTTTTTTTAGATCGTCTACCACCAAAAGCCTCAATGGCTTCGTTTGCCTCTTTGTACTTGTGCCCTAGGGGAACACGTTGACGCCACCAAAGCCGTGAACCCACACAGTATTCAATTGTGCGTGGTACCAGTCGAACCCTGTCCGAAGAACAGATATCCGCAGCCGCCGAAAAGGTACGTTCGACTATTGCTGAGCTTGCAGATAGACTCAGATAGTCTTTTGCAAGCGAAGCTAAGATCGGGAAAGCTGCACAGTGGACCTATTAATGCAAAGTTGATCAGTAACAATAAATACAACTTTAGATTAATAAAACTCAAGTGAAAGAAGTCCATACCCTCCACCATGGCAGGACTGCCTTGGTTTTTCGTGCGTCGTCTTTAGCCGCCATTGGATGTGTGCCCTTAAGGTAAGCCGCGATTTCATTTGACTCGACCTCCGGATCGTTAGCCTTGAAAAGCTGGAAGAGATTGCCTGGACCCGCGTGATTTGATGTCTTGGGCACATTATGATTGACAATAATGATGGAATGGGGAAAAAAAAGGTGAAAACGAGTATTAAAGGGATGAGTCGAGCTGAAAATTGAGACGAAGTTGAAGTGAAAAGGTTTTTTTTTGACGGGAATTCCGGTGTTCGAGGCCATCGTTTCATTAAGCGAGGGGTGGTCCATTTGTGTGAGGTGGTTGATCGAATCGGGAAGGCTTTGCTGTCTAATCGAAGCAAGGGATGGATGCTGAGCAGCCTGCCAGCTGACACCCTTGCTTTCCTCGAGTTTCCCGCACTGGCCCCGTTGCCCCGTTGCGTTGTGAGCAACGGCACCGCACCGCACCGCAACGGCCGGGAATTCTGACCGAAGGGGGCAACACATCGAGTAATGTCCGACCCGTTGCGGTGCTCGGCGTTGCTCGGCTGTACCCGTTGCGGTGCGTTGCTCGACGTTGCTCACACGTAGCAACGCACCGGCCCAACGTTGGCTTGGGGTCTCTAAACACCTGATCCGGCTTGATCCGGCGTAGCCGGATCAGCTGTGGAATCATCAGATCACAAGCTTGATTTCCATACAGCGGGTTAGGAAATTGGACGGGACCAAGTCCCCTAGGGCTTGATCTGAATAAAACTGTGATCAGTCATCAATAAGTTATAATTTAAAAAAATATCACTTCCTCCTCCTTTGCAATAAGAGCCCCAGCCCCCAGTCCGGCTCCGCCGGACTGGGGGAATGATATTAGAGGCTAAGCTTGATTATCCAACACGCAGCTAAGGCAATAATCCTGGAAGAGCTGTGGCAGATTCCAAACAAGCTTATGCATCATGCCACTAAAACTGGAGAAGTGTTCTCAAAGCACTCAATCTATGTGATACTAACTCACAATCAATCCAATTCTTGCAACACCTCAATGTATTTGAATAATAGATTATGTTTGCCAACTCTGGAAAAGTTCTGACTGATTCTAACCACAATTATGCAACAAGAAACTTTTGATGGAGAAGTATGCTCAAATATTTCTAGCTATGTGCCAATAAATTGCACACAATTTGATTATTTCAGCACATTGACAATTGAAACTACAGTATAAATTTAGTACTGTTTCATGCAGGTTTCAGATATTGAGTGAAATGTGAAGACAAATGTTTCCAAGGACAAGCCTGAAATGATGTGTCGATGTAGGCACCACACTGAAGACAAGTAGCACAGAGGGTTGGCCTCTTCTGGAGTCTTTGCTTATGCTGGGTGGTAGATGGTTAGCTCATGGCATAGATAAGAGCCACTGAAATTCCAGGGGGGGGGATAGCATTTGATACATCAATCTGAAGAACCAATTGTTGAGCATGTGTATATCACTCAGGTGTGTAAGTGAGACTATGGCACATCCCAGAGCTATGTGGCGGCTGGGCGCCGAAGACCTAGTATCATATAAATGCAAGGCTGATAAATTTTAGATTCCTGAGGGATCGTGCCACCTTTGAGCATGGCACCTTTTGGTATGATGCACAGAACTTGAGCAAGGATTGGTACAAAATTGAAGTATTGGCAGGTCAGATTTCTCAACCTGTGATACTGATTTTGTTTGTTCAGGCAATCCAAGGGGAGCATGGAGAACACAAGTTCTTCAGTAGATCCTTCATCTGGTTGCATTGAGGCTAAATTGACTGGAGTGACAATAGGAGGCACTAAAAGAGGATCAACTTTAAGGTGCAAAGACAGGTCTATCAAACCTTGGATGCCATTTGGCCCCGTTGTCAGTTAAGGAGTATGCACTCAAATTCACTTAAGTTTCAAGAAATGGAAGTCAAGGAAAACTAGATTCATGAGTGCATTCACAGATATCAAGGAGGGATAAAAGGCAAGGCAAATAATGTTGTACTGAGGAGCAAGTAACCTGGCCTTAGGGAAATTTCACGACATTGAACTCATGATGCCAAAGCCTCAGGCAGATGCACTTTGAGCCATGTCATCTTCCGAACAAGGCATGAAACGACAAGCGAACGGTGTTACATGGGCAAAAAATAGATAACGGCATCAAAGCTGTTACGATATCATGAAGGTGTTATGTAATTAACAAAGACTGCAACAATCAATATCCACCAAGCTCCTCAGCCTCAGGTTCAACTTGTTCGAGACCTTGTGGCTCCATACCCTCAGCAACAGGTTCCAATCCAGCATCGAGACCGACTCCAAGACCAGGGTTGATTTCGGTTGCACGAGAGTTTTCGGAGGTAGGTTGTTGGACAATAACCTCTTCCTTGGGGTCGAAGACGGTGACCAAATCAGGGAGGGGCTTAGCAGGCGCACCGTTACGTCCTTCGGTGTCAGAGCCTCGCATACTACAATTGAGAACAGTTTAGCATCCGTCAAACGCGAGAAAAACAAGTAAGGCCGGAACTCACATCTTGACTTTGATACCAAGTACACCTTGCCTCAAGAGAACGTGACGGACAGCTTGGTCAACAAAGTCGACACAGGGTTGACCGGAGTGAATCATGAAACCATCGGTGAATTTCATGCTCTTGGCACGAGCAGCACGAAGTTTACCGGAAACGACCACCTCGCAACCTTTGGCATTGGACTCCATGATGAATCGGAGAACACCGTAGCAAGCACGTCGAACAGCGAGACCACCGAGGAGTTTGTATCGGAGGGATTCACATTGGGCAACAGCGCACAATCCTCGCTGTTGAACTTTCTCAGCGTAAACTATGTGTGACAGAAAGGCGAAATGAGTTATCGAAAAACGACGTATGGGAGGAGTTGCAGATCAAGTATGAAAAGCTGACGTTCGACGCTTCCCTCAGGGAATTTGAATCGCTTTTGAACAAGGCTAGTTAACTCCCTAATTCGACGACCCTTTTGACCTAAAACTTCTTGAGTGTGGGTAGCTCGGATGATGACTTCAGTTCGAGCATGGGTGACTCGAACTTCACATCCGGAGTATCCTTCCTCAGAAAGTTCACGGGTGAAAAATTCAGATAATTCGGCGTAGAAAACACCGTCGGCCACGAACTTTCTACGTTTGCTGATAGTCGTCATCTATAATGGCGATCACGTCCGGACATCACAATGAGAGTTGAGGACAGAAAATCGAAGTGAGCAAAATGATTCATGATCCTTGGCTATCGCAATCATAAAGAAACTGACCGTTTTCGAGGCTTTAGGGGGTCGATGGGGCGGCTTGATCGGTGTCGTGTGTCGGGATGGCTTGCGTGAGGGCGGGTGACGCTAGGGGGAATGTGAGGGTGGGGGGGGGCTTTCAGACCTAACGCACTAGAGTGAGCTTCCGCAGTCTCATCAATTTGAAAAAAAAATCGTGATAGCCCTAACCATCGCAATTCTGCACACCCATATACGACTTGCTTGCTTGGCCTATAAAATGATTTCGCAAGTCTGAAGTCACCCAATGCCCCTCACCTCCCTCACCCCGACACACATCAGTTCTCCTTTCTCATCCCGAAATGTCGAGGCTGCTTCCTCTCGAATGTCGGCTGCTTCTTGAACCTGGTCAGTTTTCCCTCGGATATCAATTTCACCGTTCATGCAAATTTTTCTACGATTATAGCGAGTTGAGGTTATACTCGCCCAATTTATCTGGCACCTCTTATTGGAGTCCCTACTAATTAACTCCTGGCAACAGGTTTGAATTGGTTTGGACATTGAATTCAAAAACCCGAAATGAGAAATCATCAGCCTCTGAAACACGTTCTGATCGACCATATCCATACTTCATACTGACTTAACATTCATTTCCTCATTTCACAGATCTCGTCTCGCGGGGTTCTCAATGATCCATCTGTGTTATACTGTTTTGATAATTCTCTTTGTCTCTCAACTATGCATAAGTGCGAATTGTATCATCCATGTTAGCCTGCTCCAGCAGAAGTTGATCATCGCGCAGTCAATCGACATATTCCTGCACCCAAGTCGTTTTTGTCAACTTGTACCTAGTGTTCACTCAAACCTGCGCAAGTCGTTTGTTACAACTGGCGGCCTGACCCTTGATGCTGTCGGTCCCTCCCGATTGCCATTGTGACCTGAACACTAGGCCCAACTGACCCACAACTTGACTATGCCGACCAAACGAGGGACTTAGACCCCGTGTCAATTCTTTGGCCTGAGATTGGCCGGGGCTTCTTGCCCAAAACAGGCCTTCGTATAAACCCTGTTTGTATGATTTCAACATTAAAGGTACTCAAAGTCCACTGAATTACTTTTGTAATCGCAAACGAGTATGTTACCTTTGTAACGGGGTTGACCTATAACCCACGTAAGTTGTTGTTAGACCTAAGTAATCTAGGTTTCAGGCAAGATAGGGAAATGGTACAATCCAAAGTTGTCAAAGGTTTCAAGGGGAAGTATGCGTCGAGGCTAAGAGGATTTAGTCGAGACGGGCTTTATGCGATGAAACGGTAAGTTTGGCAAATGGAGGATATAGAGACGAAAAGAAGAATGGTAGTTCGAATAAAGGTTTATTGCTTAATGTAGCTGATAAAGAGTTTATAAGAAGATAATTGTAACGGTTTTAATTGGGATCTGTAATAACGTGTACAAGTTGTATAAAAGAAATAAGAATGAATAATGGTCTGGGGTTTTCTTCACAGTTCGAAGAAAACCCTCTTATTTATACAATAGACATATCGGTTACAAGCTAGTTTACTGCCTAGGCCGTATTACAAGGATTGCCATTCCGTGGCAATGGCAATATTACAAGATGGCTTAAGGAACTAGCCTGGTTTGGATACAGTTATCCTGGTTACAGATACTGTATACAGGCTGGGACAGTCCCTTTCGGTATTAGGTCATACACGAGACTGTAGCCCTGCTACAACATCCCCCCCCTAAAAAAACATGGCATTCCTATGTCGTAGCGTACCGACCAACAATTCGAATCTTTGAAGTTGTTGCTTTCTGAGTTTTCGATAGTTTCTTAGCGGCGGTGAGGATGGTTTTTGAAATTTTGATATCTTCACGATTGATTTCCTGAAGAAGACGTGGGGGCAAAGCCCAAGAGTCTCCGAGAGTATGGTCGCGGATGTGAACAGGCTTCAGTCGATTCCCGCTGATAGGATGTGGAAAGGGATTGGTATTATGGTCGAGCAACAAGTAGACATTGTTGCCAAGGTTGTCAAAAATTTCGAAAGGACCATACCAAGCGGGCTCGCCTTTGCTTCGTGTCTCATTCCGAAGCTTGACCTTGTCATGAATGGCGTAGCTGACGATACGGGATGAAGCTTTCTTTGAAGGGGAATCCTCAAATTTTGAATCAAATCTCGATTTGTTTTTCTTCGCACGTTCTTCCTGGGCTTGACGAGCCTTAATCCGGGATGAACGAAGCTTTTCCAATCGGTCCTTGTTGGAAGAGGGGTCCGGAGAGTTCTCGAGTGGTCGCAACTTGGCTGGATCACTGATTAAGCGAGGAGAGACTCCGTAGAGGAGCTCAAATGGGGAAAAATTGGTGACCGTGCTTTTATTAATTCGGACAGCAAACAGCGCCTGAGCCAGGTATTCCGGCCATCTCGAGGGGTCCAGGGTTTTATTGATCTTGAAGAGAGCCTGTTCCAGGAGTCCATTGAAGCGTTCACACTTCCCGTTGGTCCGAGGGTGGTATCCTGAGGTGTTTAACTTGTGGATACCGCAACCCTTATAGAACGCATCCATTTCCTTTGATAGGAAGTTAAGTCCACGATCCGAGAGGATCTCAGATGGAACGCCATAGACTTCAATCAACTGGTGAAGCAAGGCTTCGGCCACATTTGCGGATGTAGCTGTTTTCATGGGTATGGCGAGAGGCCAACCCGTACAATGATCAATCATTGTTAGTATCCACTTAAATCCCTCCTTGCTTTCTGGAAGGGAAATAAAGTCGACTGCCCAACGTTCAAAAGGTGCAACGGAAGGCAAAGAGTGTTGTCGATCTGTCTCCTGAAAAAGGTCCGGAGAGTCGAAAATTTGACAAGCAGGACAGTGCTTGACGAAAGATTCAACATCGGCGTAACAACCAGGCCACCAACCCCGGTTATGGAGGAGGCTGAGGGTTCCGTCCCTTCCCCTATGACCATATCAAGCGTGAAAGGTATTCATCAAATCAGCTCGTTGATAGAAAGGGATGAAGGGGCTGGATTCCTTTGGTTCGTCACCACCCCCAGTCCAAATGAGGGTTTCATCGTTAGCGTTCCACACAAATTCGTGTGAACGTCGAACGGCAGTATCAATTGCAGTGGTCGTAACCCAATCGGGAAGGCGTTGGTCACTTTTGACATAAGGTAATACCAATGGCCAATCCGAATCATCTTCGAGTCCATTTCTGGGCTCATACATGGCCAGAATAGTGTGATCTGACCTCCGGCTGAGGGCATCAGGCACAAAGTTGGTGGAGCCCTTCTTATATTTCACACGGATCGTCATCTCGCCGAATTCTTCAATCCATCGAAGAAGACGGCAAGTCGGCAGAACCTGCGTGGAAAGATAAGTGAGAGAAGCATGGTCCGTACGTACTACGGTGTCTGCCACAGCGCCCTCCACGTAGTTACGCCACTTCCTCCAGGCGTGAATAATCGCATATAGTTCACGTTCCTGGGCGGGGTAATTACGCTGGGCGGCATTTAGTTTATAAGATTCAAAAGCTACCGGATGAAGCTTCCCATCGGAGCCTTCCTGCAGTAGAACAGCACCAACCGCGAAGTCGCTAGAGTCTGTCTCTATAACGTAAGGCTTCGCGGGGTCTGGCATTATCAAGATTGGCGCACTCACAAGACGTTCTTTGAGCGTTATGAAAGCGACTTCACAGGCCGGTGTCCATTCAATCCGGGCTCTCTTCGTAACGTTTCCTGCCGTAAGTTCATGCAGAGGAGACGCAACTTTAGAGAATCCGGATATAAAACGTTGATAATAACCTGCCAGTCCCAAAAATGATCGTACATCGTGAACATTTTCGGGGCGAGGCCATGCCTTTATTGCATCAATCTTGTCACTCATTGGTCTAATCCCATCTTTAGACACCATGTGTCCGACGAACTAAATTTCGTCGGCAAAGAGTTCGGACTTGCCTCCACTGACCTTCAAATCAGCTTTGCGGAGGGCGTCCAAGACCAAGTCAACGTGAGTGATATGTTCATCGTCAGACTTAGAATAGATCAATATGTCATCTAAATATACCTGTACGAATTTATCAAGGTATGGACGTAAGATATCCGACATCATGCGCTGAAAAGTACTTGGTGCGTTTACTAGTCCAAACGGCATAACAAGCCATTCATAATGACCGTAGCGAGTACTAAAAGCGGTTTTCGGGATCGAATCAAGGGCAAGCTTCATCTGATGGAAGCCTTGCTGAAGGTCTAATTTCAAGAATCTGACCGCCCCATGAAGATTGTCGAAACAGTCCTGAATCAAAGGCAAAGGATGACGGTCCCGCTTAGTTATTGCATTAACTGCGCGGTAGTCAACACAAAATCGCAGCTTCCCAGAAGCATTACGCGCAAATAGAACTGGCGAAGACCAAGCAGAAGTTGATGGTCGTATAAACCCATTCTTGTGCAAAGTGGCCAGCTTGGTTTGTAATTCGCTCAAGAGTAAAGGAGACATTCTCCTTACTGGTTGCGAAACCGGCTTCGAATCACCAGTGTCAATAAGGTGTTCGATAACATGCTCCTTTTCGGGAGCCTTATCAATTGGATCAAACAAGGTACAATATCTATCAACCAAAGCTTTCGCGGCTGCGCGTAGCTTCGGAGAATCCACCGATATCTTAGGTAGTTCCGATGGGAGTTCCTCTCGAGGACCACCCACTTCGTCCATGGAATCCAGACGATCTGAGCCACAGACTACCCAAGCCTCCATATTAGGATGTCTCAAGAACCGACGCATCTGACTTCTGTTGATGGGCATATCCTCTTCATCAAGCTGAGGATCTCCGCCAATCAGATGGACTGATTCCGAAGGGGAATCCACGTCGGCCGGGGAAAAGTTAACAGTGTTCCCCTTTACATCTTTTAATAGCCAAACCCACGTCTCCCAATCAGTGGAGACGGCGTATTGAGATATCCAATCCATACCGAGGATGATATCATACGACTGCAAGGGAGCTATCCTGCACTTGTGGACGAACTTAAGTCCTCCAAGTGTTATTGGAACATTACTCGAATGAGTAATCAATTTACTATCCCCCCAAACACCAGAGATAGAAGTGGTCTTCTTCACCCTTTGTGAAGAAAGACCACATTGTTCGACGTAAGACTTCAAAACATAAGAAGCCGTTCGTGCGCCAGTGTCGAGTAACACGCGCACCGCCATTCTGTTTTGTGTCAAAACAAAGTCGACTCTGGGCAATCCAGAGTCACTTTCAATAGCGGCTAGAATTTCGGCCGAGCTACGGCCGCAATCCCCTGATACCTGTCTACTGGGCTCACTGGCCGGTGAGAATGCAGGAGGAGCAGCATCAGTTAAACCGCATGTGTCTTTTCCAAAGACGTTGACCGGCCTTTCGACAGAAAGATGGTCTTTAACCACAAGATCAGGCATCTTCGAGAGGCCGACACAGATGTCAAGTGGAGGGGAAAGGGGTGAATCAACAGAGCTCGTTTCGGCAAGATGCTCGTCGTTATTAAGCGAATCTTGGTGTCTGTCATTTGACACATACGGGCACTGATTCTCATCAAACAAATTCTCATGACCGACTTCCAAAGGAAGTGGATTTGTGTGCTCTATCAACGGCACATTTAGCTCAAGGTTTTTATCATCAGAAACGAGTGGCACAGTTTCATTGCAATTTTCAAACGCAATAAGGGATGACAAAGAGAGACAGGGCGAATAAAGGGGAGCTATACCTTCTTCGCCTAATCTTTTGATGGTCCGGAGGCAGAATCTTTCTCAGGCTTCTTGTGGGTTTTGAAGTAGTTCATAGTGCGGGAAGTAGGAGCATCAGGACAAATCGGATTAGATAAAGTACCGAAAATGTGGCCATCCTTGCCACAGTTGTAACACCTCTTCGAAGGTGGATCGGTGGAAATGGAAGAGCTGTTATTGGTCCTGCGCTTGCTGGATGAGGGTCGATTAGGTTTCTTGGTGCTGTTGTTTCGAGAATGCTTACGAGAGTTGTCAGAGGTGGAATACAAGGTTTCACGATTTTCCTGGATCCTGGCATCCCTATTGTAAGTGCATTCAACAACTTGCTCCATATTCATCTTGAGACCCATCTCACGAGCTTGATCAACCTGAGTCTGCACTAATTCGCGAAGCTTGGGTGGTAATTTCTTGATCCACATGGCTTCGACCTCGTACTTCAGTCCAATAGTGTCGGCGTCGTTTTGAATGACACGGAACCGACCATAGGCTTCTACAGCCTTCTCGTTCGGGCGAAAAGCGAAATTTCCGAAACGAGTAAACAAAGCTTCGACAGTCAAGGTGGATGGAAACTTCTTCTTAAGTAAAGTAACGAATTCTTCCCAGTTCCGAGGGGCAAATTCGGTGTCGATGACACGCTCAATTTTGGTGAGAGCAGCGTGTTCGACCAGTTGCATCCCAACACGGTGCCAGATGGATCGGTCGATACCCAAGATGGACAAGGATTTGGCCGTGCTGGCGCACCAAGTCGCGGCGTCCTTGTGGTTCGTGCCGCTGAACCGCGGGGCCTTCTTGGCGTTCATGGCTTTAAAAGCACGGTATGCGTCGTTTTCGAAGATTGAACGACCGGCCATAGGTGGAGGACGTTGATAAGCGTCCCTAGCTCCCGATGCTGGAGAGCTAGGAGGAGGAGACCCGGGAGGACTGAAATGACCAGCCGTTGGATCCGGGCGTTGACTGGTACTGGGCATGGCGGAGGCCCGATCATGACGGGTAGGAGGAGACATTTCAACGTCTTCGCCTCTGAGAATCTCTGCGTCCCATTCGGCCTTGATCTTCCGAGCGACAGACTCCTGATAGGCCAACCAACCAGGAAGCTGATCAGGTCGCATGGTGACGGTAATGTCGGATTGGCGGGACTCGGAATTGTCGATACCAGTGCCGTCACGAGGAAGAGGAGAAGGCTCGATCTCCATACGATCGGAGCGTTTACCCTTATCTGCCATGATACTATCGACAGCAGATGTGAAGGCCTTAGCACGGGGAGTGTTGAGATGAGGAGCGTCCGGTTTAGGGTTCCGCGGGGGCCCACTGCCGAGAGTCAAACCCAAGGCGGTGGAAGGTGCAAAGCCCGGGCTGTCGACCTTCCGAAACGTGTTGGCCGAACGGGTGGTGTCCGGTTGATTCGTAATGGTGCGACCAGTGGTGATGCCAGATGTCGAACATCGACCAGAGTTCTGCATCCCTGCCGAGCCGGTTGCGGGACTTATGGTGCCAATCGCAGCGGAATAGCTCATAGGCGTGGTATTCAAAATTCCACCAGGGGCGGAAAGTGGCTTCGACTTTGTTTTAGTTGAGCCAGGATCAGAGAGAGGCAATGGTGTATTGGCGGCAGAAGGGGTTTTCGAGGAACCACCTTTGGAAGTAGCTGCCGTCGTTTCCGTGGCGCCAACGGGTGAATTGACCGCCGGGGTATTTGCACGAGACCGAGATCTTGGTAGGACGTGCGGAAAGTTGAGGGCATTGACTCCAAGGATCGCTTGACTGTACCTGTCAAGGCATAGGCAAGTGCCGGCAGCGAGCGATTCAATGGTTTCGTTAATCATGACTTGTTCGTCGCTGAAGCCGGCGATGACTTCCGGTGAGTACGTTTCTCCTTCTGCCAAAGCAGGAAGGTGTCCACACAATTTGTACCATTGATCAGGTGTGACTTCAATGGGAGTGACGTTGTCGATATTCTTGGAAGGCATGCTTGTTTTATTTATGGCTGTTTTTTCTTAATCAAAGAGAAGAAACACGCGACCAAACATAAATAATCAAAAAAATTGAGCACCTTATCCTTTTCAAAAAAAATTTCAACAAATTTTATACGGAATTATTTACTTACTTTCGATTTCTTGAAATTATTCGCTGTTACAATTCGAATTTCTTAGGCGTCAAGCGTCAAAAAGATGAATTTTACGGAAATAACTGTTTCTGTAAACACGAATTATAATAATTCCAAAAAAATCAAAAGATAGTAAAAAAATTTATTCGTCAGTACGAATTTCAGAATCTTTAGCTCTCGCTACCAGTGTAACGGGGTTGACCTATAACCCACGTAAGTTGTTGTTAGACCTAAGTAATCTAGGTTTCAGGCAAGATAGGGAAATGGTACAATCCAAAGTTGTCAAAGGTTTCAAGGGGAAGTATGCGTCGAGGCTAAGAGGATTTAGTCGAGACGGGCTTTATGCGATGAAACGGTAAGTTTGGCAAATGGAGGATATAGAGACGAAAAGAAGAATGGTAGTTCGAATAAAGGTTTATTGCTTAATGTAGCTGATAAAGAGTTTATAAGAAGATAATTGTAATGGTTTTAATTGGGATCTGTAATAACGTGTACAAGTTGTATAAAAGAAATAAGAATGAATAATGGTCTGGGGTTTTCTTCACAGTTCGAAGAAAACCCTCTTATTTATACAATAGACATATCGGTTACAAGCTAGTTTACTGCCTAGGCCGTATTACAAGGATTGCCATTCCGTGGCAATGGCAATATTACAAGATGGCTTAAGGAACTAGCCTGGTTTGGATACAGTTATCCTGGTTACAGATACTGTATACAGGCTGGGACAGTCCCTTTCGGTATTAGGTCATACACGAGACTGTAGCCCTGCTACACCTTCGCTAGAAAGGTTGACACCTTGGGCCCGTTTTTTTTATTTTTTTTCAGCTGCGCCCGCAGCACTGCGCCGCAAATGTATCCTGATTCGTTTGAAATCAGGCGACAGGGAATTTCGTCACCTTCGTTGCCGCTTTGGTTCACTCCAACACCGGTGCCCTCCAATCAACACCTCAATCAAGATGTTCCATCAAGCCTTATAAGAGCATCCGCACTCGTGCGGTAAGTCGGGTGCGGTAAGGTTAAATTTACCGCAACCGCAGGGTCTTTTCCACACCGGTGAAAAATTAGCCCCGCGGTAGTTAATTTTTGGTCATTTTGCGTTAGCAAATTGGTAAATTTACCAATTGGCTAACGCATGCGGTATCACACATCACGACTTGTTCATGGTGACTCGACTCCAAAAACAAAACTCAACCAGACCTCCAACACCAAAGTCAACTACCAATACCTCCTTTTCACCACTCACACACAATGAAGTCCAAGCCTTACAGTTGCATGAATCAACTCGAGAACGTTCAACACCAATCAATGTCTTTTCAATTAAAATAGGTCAATCAACCATCTTGAACTTGACTCCAAACCATTCAGACTAGTACAATTGGGCGGCGGGCGCCGCACTTTTATTTGCCCTTGTGTTGTGATAAACCTTTTGTTATTTATGCAAATGTTTTCTGCTCTGAGGACTTTAATATCTCAACTTCTTTCATTTGGGTCCCTACACTCTCTGTGGTCATGTTCCTATCTCGCTGATCACATTGGCCTCTGGACCTTAGTTTCATCTTGCATTAGAATTCAGTACATCAACTCCAATCATGATGTTCAATTCATAGCCAAGCTTGATTTCATGAGAAAAAACAATCAACACAAAGACTTACTTGAGTTGAATAACTGAAAACAGAACAGACAGGCAGATTGGCTAAAACTTACAGGAAGTAAATGAGTTATTCTGATAAGATAGCAAAAAAAGAACTCATTCTAGTAGATATGAATGATGTTAAAGAGAGGTAGAGGTGATGTAAAAGTCAGAACTACTCATCAGCACATAAGTAACTCACTTAGTGTGAATGACTACAATGAGGGAGGGGCCTGAAATCAGTTTTAAAGGTTTGGTGATGGTTGTTGGGTGAAACAAAAGGGAAAAAATCAAGATGAGTTAGTTCAAATGACCAAAGCTTTCAGGAGACTGAGATCAATCTAAGTCCGAGGAAAACTCACCTAGATAGCACAGGAGTGATTGCATTGACCAAGAGAATACAAAGGTGATCGATCTAGAAGTTTGTAACCCACAAGATAGAAGAAAGTAAGTCAGGATACTTGAGAATCAGGAGAGATTGATAAGGTATGAACAAAGGAATCTTGAATGCTGAACTAAACAAACATACCTACAATAGGAGAAGTTGCCATCCAGATCAGTATGAGGTAAAAGAATTGAGGGAAGATCTGAAAAATCTCAATGGAGACCTATGGAGACCCTGTTTATGATCGCATCTGGCCTGTGTGTGAAGTTGGGTGTCAGATTGTGAAGTTTTGGCTCCATCTAAATAGAATGAGATCAGAACTTATCTTATATTGATTTTGATGTGAAAAGAGTATATTATGATCGAGTAAAGGATTCATTTTGAATTAGTAAGCCAATTGATTTGGATTGAGTTAAGAATCTGATTTGAATTTGATCAATATTCATATCTAAACGTCTACGCTTTTGTTTTACTTGACCTTGATCTACATCCACCTTCTGTAATGATAATTAAAAATAATGATTGAAATTTGAGCAATAACATCTCATTAAATGTTTTTTGATCGAAGATAGTGATTCGATTTGAGTTTTGATTAAAACATGTTGTATTTGAAAATGAATAAGATTTCAGTTCAGAGGATCTTGTTTTATAGAAACTTGAGGGATAAGTTACAGACCATCAACAATCATCTCATCGTTTTCGTTTTCTCCTCTTCCATTGTCCGTCTTGATAGATTGATTGTGATATGATTGATCAATTGTTTTGTTTTGAAGTTTGAAGGTATGATGATTATGATCGGCTGTGATTGAAGGGAATGCGACGATCTA